ATATGCAAAACCGTCGCCTCCGACGAGGAAATTGTAGATGATATCCGGTGACTCATTTTCCATGTAATAATCCTGCACAAATCTCACTTTGTTTGCACACTCTCCTTGCGTGGTACAGAATCCTATCATAGTGTCACAAATAATTACATATGATACTGGCAGCTTCATTTCTTTTAGAGGTTCCAAAGACGGCCGTGCACCCCATTCATCCCTGTCGACAATGCAAAACTCTGTCTCGTTATTACCTGCAAGTCATGAAAATAAGATACATATCGTACAAAAAGTTCAAGATATACCATGCAGACAAATTTATAGTTAAAAACTCCTTAATTTAACACCGAATTTGTCAATCTCAATCAGACGCATATGTCAATTTTAACATTAAAATCTAGAATATTACTCTCATATATGTGAGAATGCAAGAAGTTTTAAAATATATTATATGACTCGTGGAAAGTAAAAAAAGACATGCTTTTAAGTAGACGAATAAATACGAATATATAATGTAGGAGACAAATTTTAAGTTTGAAATTGCGATAAGATAACATTTGCCTCGTGTCGTGCTTGCAAAACAAAAATTTTCCAGATAGGCAATTACCCTCGGTAGATGACTCTGGAATTTCCCAAGAAACCGTTGTGGTTGGTGTGGATGGTATGGTTGGTGTAGTCGGTGTGGTCGGTGCGTCCGGATGACGAGTGAAATATACAATTATGAACACTATAATACCCAGAAGTATTAAAACTACGCACGATAAAGCCGTATGCCATTTCCACGTCCAGAGCCATTGCGTCACTAAAATAATTATAAAAAGCTATATTAGAACGATAGTTTTACGAGCTACTTAATATTGTTTGATGAAATTCATTCGCAATTATTATAACGGGTAGCACTGTGTACGAAAGGAATATTATAATTACATAAAGCCCCTCGCGTAAAGCATTTAAATTCTTGTTTGATGTCACTTTTTTGCTAGTCTATTCACAATCGAGTAAACATATATTTGCGGCATGCAATATTTCGCCAATCTATGCCAGATAGCGTGACACATATATACTGTGAGATGAAAATAGCTCTTCTATATTTAACTTTAATTTTAGTGGCGCAGCTAATGTATAACATTTAACAATTTTCAATCTAAAATATCGCCGATATTAAACCTCCGAGGCTACACCTCTTTTTTTAATACGCCTCGGCCACACTGGGTGGTCGACACCTAGTCGAATTCAGTCTCATAATTCTCATTACTGTGCACGTAAAAATTCATGCAACATCTTAAGGATGTTGTTCAAAAATATGTATGGTGCTGGTGCAGAACCCGAAATATGCTCGATAAACAAAAATGTTGTAATTTTCGGTCGCAATAAGAAATATACACCGAGGCTACACCTGAGTGGTCACCACCCATAAATAACTTTAAAATGTTTATTAAGCATAACTGACATGGCTTAAAGCCTTTCTACTGTACGGATCTTTAAGAGAAGGACTCAAACTAGAGATCCTAGCTGAAGGGACACTGATTATAAAGCCTATCTTAAAAATATCGAGTTTGAATTTTTGTCTGGGTTGCCGCTACTTAGTGTGGCCTCGAAGGGTTCAAACTATATTCTGGAATAGTTTTGACAGGACCATTAGTCAAAGTAGTTAATGATATTTGTGACATATCGGCTGTTCTTCCGAAAATGTTCATGCTCTGGTTTAGACCCTTATAGAAATTTAATACTGTAAGTGATTTTTTGGCTAGTGATTAATCATTTAAAAGCACTATTAAAAGCACTATTAACAGTGCTTTTAATAGTGCTTTTAAGTGATTAATTACTAGCCAAAAAATCACTTACAGTATTAAATTTCTATAAGGTGTGACGTGACAAGTCGCGTCTCCTTCCCGGACGGGCTCGGCCGAGGGGAATTCGGGGGTGCCTCCTCGTTGGGGCGAGAGGAGGGCGCTTGCGTATAGTAATTGGTCTAATTAGGTATTAAGTTTTTAAGGGATCGCCGGTGGTGACCGGACTTCAGCTGTAACGGCCGGGGGCCGCGACGAGGAAGGGCAGAGGATTAAAGAGACGGCCAGAGGACATGGCTGGAAGTCGGATCGCCCGGACCTCCCCGCAGGCGCATGAGCGTCGCCGGCCGGAATTCACCCCGCACTCGGTCGTAACAGCGGCAGTATATCGATCAGGAGGACCCCAGATCACCCACGAGCGAAATGCCAGTGGCACAAGGGTGCAGAGGAGCGGCCCAGGGAAAGGTACCGCCCTGGGGCCGTCACCCCGAGGGAGATGCCGGCAGACGGGGCCGAGGCCCGGCCAGCCTGACCCCGAACGCCGACCCGATCATCGCGGCCCGGACAGCCGGGTGAATCGAAAAGCCCGCGCCAAATCGGAGGTGATTGCAGCGGCGTCGCCGGAAAGGGAGGCGCGCGAGAAGCTGAGGCGCCGACGAAAGCGCCCTGGAATGGAGTGGCGCCCCCGGAAGGAGCGGCGCACGTGCGGCCTAGGCGCAGGAAGCGCTAGGATCGGCAATCCGGTCGAGCGACACGCCACAGCGCAGGCGCGGGGAACCGGCGCGATCCCGGCAGGCTATCGTTTCCGACACTGTCGTGCCGGCTAACGAGCGAGGAGCATCTCCTGCATTTCGAGCTGCCCGGACTACCGGAGGGACGACAACGATTGTAAGGTCACCACTCTGGCGTCCCCGCGTTAAGAGAAGAGGGTTCACTCGAGGCATCGGCCCGTGGCACACGTTGGTTACCGAAGTTACGCAGGATACCTGATGTGTACCGCGTTAGAGCGTGCGATACCTTGCGCTCGCCTTGAAGTAGAGTCGTGTGGGAAAAGTGCCAGGGCCTTGCCGAGAGTGAGCTCTCGAATGCGTAGAGACCATTTGCGCCCTCCCCGCGAGCACCGCCACGGCCGACAGTCGCGTGGCGTTGGGATGTGTGAATCGAAATAATCGTGTCGCGTTTATGTAGCGTTTCGTCAAATTAATGTAAATAATCGTATCGCGTTATTCGTGATTGTGTCGCGTTTCATTGTGCTAGAGTTTATGTCCGTAATCGTATCGCGTTTTGGCCATATTATTTGAGCTCGTAATCGTGTCGCGTCCTGGCCATATTAACGAGAGTGATAATGAGAGTGAGGTCTTGCGTGGCGATAACGGGAGCGAGTTGTGCGGGTAACGGCGAGCCGCGAGTGGTCATGTAATTTGAAGGGCACTCGCCCTCGTATTTGAGTAACGCATCCGGGCCCTCGAGGACAGCGAATATTGGTTTGGCGGGACGAAGAGATCGACGGGATCGGTGCGGGGCCGCGGAATCTCCGTGCTTGCGAGAGAATTCGGGATTCGCGTGGCAAGCCGCGGGATCGTCCGCGATACGAGTCCTTATTTCGTGTTCGGGGGCAATCGCCGGCCAGCGTGGTCGACTCGGCGAGATCGCCCATACTTTTTGCGTCGCGCGGAATCGAAGTGGCCCGGGTGTGCGTTGAAGGAGCTGCGGAGGGTGCGGCGAGCGATTCGTCGGCCTCGTGGCGTAAGTTCATTGTGTTGAAGCCAGGTACCGCGATACCTGAATCGTCCTTATTTTTGTTAAGCTTTCGTGTGTCCGTCTGCGTTTATCTGTTGCGTTGAGAACTTCGCGTGCATTAGTCTACGGTGTTTCATGGTCGACACTACTGCGTGCCCTTATTGCGTATGCGGCATTCGTGCGTCCGCCTAGCCTGCATGGTTGCGGTAATACGAGACTCAGATCGATTATACACCTTGATACTGCCTGACTAAATATATATTTTGTTATTATTATTTATTTTCTTGTGAGTGTGATTGATTGTGTGACGCCTCTCTCCGAATTCCCTGAAAGAGCCCTACGCCCTGAGGTATTGCCGGGAATATCGCGTCGGACATATTAGAGTACGGTGGTGCGATCCGTCGCACCTGGCGCCCAATCTTTTGGTGTCGGAATTAGTTGTGCGTGCTGCCAGTCCTCGATAGCCCTCCACCGGATTGCGAGACCGGGGGAAAAAGCGTCGCAAAGGGGATACGCAATACAAAGTGTTGAAATGCTTAAATATAAAACGTTTTCGGAAGAACAGCCGATATGTCACAAATATCATTAACTACTTTGATTAATGGTCCTATCACAATTATTCCAGAATATAGTTTTAACCCTTCTAGGCCACACTAGCTAGGTGGCGGCAACCCAGATCTAAACGATCAAAGTTTGTAAATAGTTCCTTCTAGATAAAAAAGCATATACTAAAGGTATTTTTTGCAACTCAAATAAAGTTTTTGACATCAACTATTTATTAATGTATCGATATTAGATTGACGTCTAATCGACTAAACATTTCTGGCTAAATATGTAAGCAACACAAATTGTCGAAAATGCTTAAATATGTAAAACGTAAAGAAAATAATTTGATTCTATGATGTCTCTGAATTTACCAAGTAATTATATTCAATTTATAATATATTGTACTTAGCATATTTTTACATTATAATTCAATTTTATGGGTTACGATTTATAATTTCTTATATAAAATGGCATTTTATATCAAACTGTTGTTATCCTAAGATACAAAAACTTATGAGGGATCTGTTTTTTTTTTTAAGTTATATATCCGGCGATTTTATGCTTAAACATATTTATACTTGCAAAGAAAAAGAAGCATAGGAAACTAAAAGCAACGGGCCCGTTGCGTTGCACGATTAACTATTACCTTTATTTAAATTAGTATTTTGCGGATAGGTGCATCCGTTTGGAGCTTCGTTGTCTTTACTCGTCGACAAATCCGGGGTATTGTCGAAGGCGCTGCTGGCGTCATGTTTACTCGCATTCTGATTCGGATTAGAATTCGTGTAAACGACATGGTTTACATGAATAGTAACCGGACTATTGTAGTTGACCTCATTACCCAGATGCACTTTGCTCGAATCCTTCACGCGGACGTTACTGAAATTCGACGAATCGGGGTTCGGAAGGGCGATGTAACCATTCGTGGTATCGAACGCGTGATGCTGCTGGACGATGGTCGATACCGGCGGATTTAAGATCCAGCCGCCGGCGCCGTTTTCCTCGACATCTGTCTCTTCTTCTTCATTGTCGTTGTCTATAACGTCACTGCATTGCGTAGAGGAATCTCTAACGCTATCATTGTCCGGAGCTACGACCGCGATTTCCTTCATCGAACATCCAGCCTCGCCGCGAAACTTGTCGACCGCATGACCCTCGGCAGACTCAACAGTACTATTCATGTTGTCCTGCTCCTTCTGACCCTGATAGTGATTACCATCGTGCGTTTGATGCTACTGTTGCACCAATGTCGCTGTTGCACCAATGTCGCTATCCATGCGTTAAGCTGAAAATGCATCTTTTTTTTACATCAGATATGTCTTAAAATGCGATACGCCGCATGCAGCAGAATACGCTCGAGAAACAGCTGTAGGGTCTTTAGATAAATTCGTCAGGTCGCTACGAAATTTTCTCACTTCCAATTAGAATATAAATGTCCGGTTTAATTTTTTGTTTTTTAAACTTCTCTTTTCAAATAACAAAAAAAAGATTAGTTTGTAAACATAATTCTTATTTGATTTTTTTACAATTTGTGAAAACTTCGAAGGTAAAATAAAAGACAAACTCGAGAAACATCAGGGATGCGTTCAGAAATTCAACCTAGGTAACTCTAAGCTATAGTTTACGTCACGTATATTATAGGATTAGAATTACTTAGGTGTGCTTGGGCGTAATTCCTGAACGCAGCCTAATATTTTAAATTGACGCAACCGGTCGGCAACAATTAATCCGCTAAATTAAAAGATTAACTGACTTATATTTAGGATTACCTTGCACAAATTACCATCCGGCGGCGGTCACTTTGTCAACACTAAAATCACCATTGATCTATGACGACATGGTGCTGTCATTGTGGAAAGCGCTCCGCGGGCAGGAAAACTTTACTTGATCTGGCCCTAACGGTTTTCAACACGTCGCATTGACATGTACATACCACCTGCAGTTGGGGGATGCACCGTCCCGCGGGAACAAAGTACAATCCGAACAAGAACGGACTCGGTTCAAGTCACTATCGGCTATTTTCATTGATCCTATGACACTGTCAGACAGATACTGGCTTCAGCGATAACGTCACACGGCTACTGAAAGACGCGCCTTGGAAGTGGAATCGTGGAAGGCGCTCGTTCTCGCTCGCGAGAAGCAAGGCGAGGTGAAGAACAGAAAAACGGAGAACGAGAGCAGGCGTGCACTAATTACACGATAATCCCTTTCGCATAATAGGTCCCGTGTTTAATTTGAATAATAACTCCTTGGATTCCTGGCAATCATGTGCTGATACCATACGTGGATGGCACCGCGGTCACTGCGGTCGCATCTCAATCTATATCATTGCTGCGTATTAAAATGAATTAAGCTACCGTAAACTTAAAGCGATGCTGAGAATATGTATATATGTCTTGGAAGTGCACGACACTCGTTCTTATTGAAAAGAATGGATTTTGCGATCGCAAGCCGCTTGTTCAGCACTCATTGACGAACGAACTACCGATGGAATCAAAGTACGAGTAATGGCGACATTATCTCCGTTCAATCCGATATAGAACAAACTACTGTTGCGCTTTCTTGTCGAATGTACTCGGAAATCGTTGCCCCCACTCTTTGACTGTTTCCCTCAACCACAACTGTTACCGACATATTTGCGACATGCATGTGTGTGCGATAACGTTGTTTTAGACGGTTTTTAGTCTTTTCCGTGGAATCAAATGGACTTTATTTCGATGGATGGGGATTTCTAACATCAGTAGTGTACACGAAACATCTATATTACTCCTATTATATGATTTTTTGCAATTAAAGATAAAAGATTAGTATTTTGCGCTAATTATGTCACGATTATTTGCCTCGAGTTAAAAGACAGTGTATTTAAAGAAAATTTGGAGTTAAGAGTTTCGTAGAGGTCTTTCTATATAAACACAGACTTGTATTCAGTTATACGTATATATTGTGTTACTTCAAGCTTCGGTGGTTCAGCGGTCTCTCACCCACTATCCCTTCCTCACTCACACGCGTGCGAATAAGTTTAAATGCTTTGTTGTATCAACTTAATTATAAACGAGTAGAAACCTGCACATTGCTTCCTCTATGAAGAAACCTGTTTTTTTATGCATAATTATTAGTAGATATTTATTAATTTGGCTTCCTCATAGAGGAAGCAATGTGCAGGGTTAGGTTTCTACTTGCACACTTGAAAACTATTAGGAAGCAATGTGCAAGTTTCTACTTGCACACTTTTTTTTATTGTGATAAAGTTTTATTGCAACTAATATCTGTTATACTAATATCTGTTATACTCTTACAAAAATCAATTAAATAATTAATGTTTTTACTAAAATAATCCCTACTAATTGCGGATATATCTTATTTCTATTTGAATATTAATATTAGTTGTTGCGCGTTGTTGTATGAAGGTATGTGTGTGTGTATAGGTGAATAATGTCCGTTTCTTGGCCTACTGCTGAAGCGGACTAGGACCTAGTCACTAGGTTCAAATATTTTTGAGTTTAGGTTGAGTTTAGGAGTTTAGATTGAGTTTAACGTGCAAATAATGGGTTTAGTCGTAGTTTAGGGTTTAAGAGATAGTTTTTCTAAAAGAAATTTAAAAATTAAAAAAGTTGGTATGAGTGTGTCTATAAGGTATATTGTAAACCAAGTCCATTTCTTAGTTTTTTGTAGCTGAAATTAAATAAATAGATCTATATATATCTTATTTCCATTTTGTTCAATACCAACTTTCTTTTAATGATACTCTATATAAAATTACATGTATAACTTATACATGTAATTTTTTAAGCAGAAATCGATAACTCCTTCACCGATCCTCGCAAAATTCAAAACAACCTTCCTTTAATGATAATCTATATAAAATTACATGTACATCTTATACACTTTTTAAGCAGAAATCGGTAATCCCTTTACCGATCCTAGGCAATGTCAAGAAAAAACTGAAGAATATAACAGAATTAGAAATAACCCGATATCTCAAAATTTGCGGAAGTTAAGTGTATGATAAAATTAGAAATAGCCTAATATTTCAAAATTTACAAATGTTAGAGCAACCACGGGCATTTCTAAAAAAATTCAAAATTTTATAAAAAAAGAAGTTCATTACCGATTATCGCAAATTCAATACCAACTTTCCTTAAATAATACTCTATCGATTAAAAAAAAATTAAGCCCGATATCTCAATATTTGCGGAAGTTAGAGCAACCACGGGCATTTCTAAAAGAATTCAAAATTTAAAAAAAAAAACCCCCCTTACCGATCATCGCCAAATTCAATACCAACCTTCCTTGAATGACACTCTATCGATTAAAAAAATCAGCCCGATATCTCAATATTTGCGGAAGTTAGAGCAACCACGAACATCAAATTCGCACACACACACACATACGGACATTTTTTTAAATGCAATTTTTGGACGTTTTAAAACATTCTGAACACATTGGCAGCGGCAACTAAAAAAAAATTTTTTTTACGAAAACAAAGCTTTCTCTATGAGGAAGCAAAAATTACATGTATAAAGATATGACCAAAAATATATACTATTATTAAATAATACCGTTATTAAATATATAATATAACCAGAAATTAAATCAAAAGCGTAAGAGTAAGTTTTCTTTTCGGGAAAATTGAATTTAGAAACTGGGAATAGTATATTAAATAAATAATATGTTTGTTCTATTTGCATATAAGATAGTTATTTATGTACGGAATGCAAAAAACTTATGGTGATTTTGTTTTGGAAGCTATTAAGCCGAGATTGAAACTTATTTCCATTTTGATATCGTACGTATATTTTACATATATATATGTAATGGTGGTTAAAGGTATATTTATGCATGCTTTATACAGAGGAGACCGGGGCGAAATCGTCACTATTATTTCGATGTCGATTTTTAACAACAAATAATTTTAGTAAAATGTGATATACCGTTGTAAAGAGTAAACCCTTGGCTACAAAATTTATAAAGACATTTTTGGTCTACGTCGCTTTGTTCAACTGGTATAGAGTGAAAACGACAAATGTGCAAGCCGAAGCGGAGTCGTCACTCCATTCTCGGACTGAATTTTAAATAAAAATTCATAATTCCGATCATGAAAAATGATAGGATATATTTTATTAATTATTTTTTAATAGAAAAATGGAAACATTAATTAAAAACTCGATGGCGGAAAATAATTACAAGAAAAATGCACACACTTATGTGCCCTATATACGCTCGCACGTTTCTCGTCAGCTCTATTCTGTCATCTCTGAGCACACGCAGCACATATTATCCAAATTCTTGCCGGAACCCGACCACTGCCGCTTCTTTGACTTTGATGAAAAGAAAATATTATACTTAATAATACTATAGAGGCTCCGCCGACGGCGCCGACACGTAGCCCGTAGGAATGGCCACATTAAACACCTTTTCTGTCTGTCCGACTATTTATGGGCCAGCAGAACTCTGCCTGCTCCAAAAATTTAGCTCTTTTAAACCTTCCTCTCCTTTCCATGTAAACTTTCTTTCAATTACTTGTATAATATCCTATATTTGATTTTCACTCTTGTTTCCCTTCCTTTTTTGGCCTCTGCTCCCCTCTAGCAAACGTATTTTCCTCTGTATCTGTCTTACTTTCCAAGTTAGGTTATTGTCAACGATTATGTTTTTCTTTTTTAAGATCTTATTTTTAACCATAACTATCCTTTTCTGTTCCTTACTTTTCAGTTTCTCTGTAATCATATTTTCTCCTCTTCTTGTCCAAAATTTACCGTAACTTCTCCACTTCCGTGGAGTTCTTTCTGGTAATATTTCTTCTATCGCTTTTTCTACAGCATCTTTTTTTTGGACCTTCCATTCTTTTATCAGAATATTGTTTTTTTCTTTCTCTCTCTTATTTCCTCTTGCATTTTTAATTTTATAAATTTTCTATTGTATGTGTGTAGATTGTCATCCGCGCCACTGTGAAATGAGTACAAAATAATGTTTGACAAGTGAAAAAAAGCTGTACAGGAATTGAATACGTATATGTTTCTTTATTTAACAAATTATAGGCTCGTTAAATGTACAACAAATTACATTTTTTTAAATAGTATATACAAGATGTTCCCCAAAATTAGGTACTAAAACATGACTGATAAATTCGGTATATTATAAAATAGAATAAAGTATATAGTAACTGTCACGTTGGCATTGTTATTTCTTTACAGAAACCACTGAACTGAGTAATCTGAATGAATGCGCGTGGTTGACATAAAATGGATTGCTTAACATTTCTTACTGATACATATATCCTGTATCATGCATGATACATATTTTTATAGCGATTTTCAATTCTAATATTTATTTAACAGTCAATTAATTTTATTATAAAGTTCAACCAGTACAATGCCTATTATCATACCTTCAACACACAATATATTTTTATATATGACATTTTCTTCCTGTATTCACCAATTAGCTTGATCTAATTAAATTTATTGATGCTACAAAATTTGCAGGGACTACCTCTTTTGTCATATATTTCATTGTATTCAAGAAGATTTTATATTTAGAACGAAAATAGTAGATCCGCGATATACTCAGTTAACTGTTATCTGAACTTGTTGGAATTATATCTAACTAACATAAACAAATGGCAACTAAAGATTTAAAGAAAAAAAAATGTAAATATTTTCAGACATTGTATTCCATTCACAATTTAAATTTTCAAGCTATCTGGTCAGGGCTCGGATGACCAATGGGGCCACTCTTTAATTTGATTATATAAGGCATCTGCAGGAAATAATATAATCGTATTATTCCAAACTTGTCGCTGACCAAGCAGTTTATAGTCAGACGCAATTTTTCCGGTTCTGACGCCGAACTCTATCAGCTCTTTCGCGGCATTGAAATGCCTTTTCGACGGTATAACCGAAGTGAAACCTGCACCGATGAACGCAATACCGATGCTTATGCCGTTATAGTTTCCTGAATGGCCACCGATGTAATTCCAGTTTCTGCCAACATATGCGAGGCCGTCGCCTCCGACGAGGAAATTGTAGGCGATATCCGCTACATTATTTCCCAGCATGTCATAATCCTGCACAATTCTCACTATCTCTGCACACTTTGGTTGCGTGGTACAGAAATTTACCAAAACTTCACAAATAATTACATATGATACTGGCAGCTTCATTTCTTTTAGAGGTTTCAAAGGCGGCCGTGCACCCCATTCGTCCCTCTCGACAATGCGAAACTCTGTCCCGTTATTACCTACAAATCATGAAAATAAAATACATATCGTACAAAAAGTTCAAGATATACCACACAGACAAATTTATAGTTAAAAACTCCTTAATTTAACACCGAATTTGGCAATCTCAATCAGACGCATATGTCAACCTTAACATTAAAATCTAAAATATTACTCTCATATATAAGAATGCAAAAAGTTTTAAAATATATGACTCGTGGAAAGTAAAAAAAAGACATGCTTTTAAGTAGACGAATAAATACAAATATATAATGTAGGAGACAGATTTTAAGTTTGCAATTGCGATAAGATAACAT